ACCTAACCTAACCTAAACTAACATAACCTAACGTGACCCAACCTGAAGTTACCTAGCGTAGCTTAACCTAACCTAAGACACAGAGATGCCATCTTCATCTCTGTTTCTTGCGCGAGCCAGTATTACGCTGTGACTGCGATCGTGTTCACTCAGGTGTGAACCCGTGCGTGTCTGTGCGCTGTGAGCCTGGCGAGGAATGTGACATCAACAAGTTCGGAATCGCTCGCTGCGAGTGCCCGCCCCAGTGTGAACCCATCATGCGCCCTGTGTGTGGACAAGATGGCCGCACGTACGAGTCGCTGTGCGAGCTGAGACGGGCGTCTTGCGTGCAGAAGAAACTCTTGGAGGTCAAACACACGGGCGCTTGTGGTAAGTCGCCCGCCCGGTTGGCGGATTCCTGATAATGTTAAGACGAGCTGAATTAACCAGAGCCCTTGTTGAAAAGCTGGCGGTTGCTCGGCTAGTCACGGAATTCTCCGCGTTGCGTGGAACCCTGGTCGACCCTTTCCTGAGCCAGATTAATCTAGTCCACGCCCTTCAAAAAACATTTTTTAATATTATCATTCCGTATACTTATATAGCGTAGTCACTTTCCTGGAGGCTTTACGAATATTTAGCTGCAGACTGTCTCTTTGACACAGTAAGCGTCAGGCGTGGACCAGATGGGCCACTTCATAACCTCAACTTTCCTATTCATACGCGTGTCATTTTTTTTTTCCATTCTCAAACAGAACTGGGGAAATTTTTTTCATTGTCAATTCTGCAAGTGTGATTACTGCTCACAGCTACAACAACAAAAACTTTAGGGAATTTCAGGGAACCACGTTGGGGGGTTTTGTGTGTGCGAAAACAGCGGTGTTCAGTGCTGCCACCTAGAGTAATTAATTTCAAAATTAACTCATTAGCCTCCCGCTGTACACCTGACAGAGAACAAATTTGACAAAACAGCCTGAAACCAGAGGCACATTACACTTTTATACAGACACTGGGGAACCATTAGGTGTGTACCAGATTGTTACAGCCATTTTTCAACTACAAAATGTAACCTTATCGTTGAACTAATGCATGTCTGTTTTAACCTATAAAGCAGGACTAGGTGATTTGTATAGCGACAACTTTACGCCGTGCGAAAGGAGAATGGTTCTTTCTTGAAATAAGTCATCATTGCTTGGATATAACTTTCGTTTAAAAGCCTTTGCAGTTAAAACAGCGTTATTATAATGCCTGAGAATCAATCAGGTAAATTAACTATTAATCTGATAAATTCTCGGTTGTTTTGCCGTGCAGTTTTCCGACGTTTCAACTATGCTACATGACGCAACAACTCAGATGACATCCATCTTTATACACGCCGTGAGTCAACTTAAATATCACCTGGCATTAATCTGTTTAGGGAAATTTAATCAGATTTAAACCGAAACAAAAGCTTGTGTAATTTGCCCAAAGTGGCAGACCTGGTAACTCGGCTTACGTCATTGTCGAGACAACTGAGCGGCTGGGAGCGAGGCTACCACATTCAGACAGGAGTGAGACATAAGCTCTGGAATAAGTTAAACTTTAAACTCCGAAACTCCCACAAGGTTTCCAGTCTCTGATAATAGAAGAGTGACAGCTTTATCGTGTACCCGCATGAGGCGCTGTACGTTACAAGAAGTTATTCTCGACGGGTTAAAATGTCAATATAGCTTCGTCACACTTTCCGTCAAGTTTCGACATTTATTTTTTTTGCGATATTTACATATCGCGAGCTCGTGGCTGATCGTGTATCAATTACTAATAACATCCAGCGCAAAATGGATCAGTGGAGCTTGAAGTGTGACATTATATATGTCAATTAACAGTTATATTCACGGTGGCATTGCAAAATTTTGAGGTTATGTTCGATAAATTTAACGTAGGCATCATCTGTGTGCAATCAATTGTTTAAAAATAAAATATATAATGATTTAACGATATCCTGTCGCATATTTATAACTTTCATATGATTTTCAGTGATAATTTCCTTAAACAGCGTTAACCAATTGATCTACGTAATGGTGAAGTGTGGTGTTTTCTTCGCGGTACGGACTGAATTCTTAAATACGTAATATTTAGACGAGCTTTGACTTCAAAGGGTAAACCAGCTGATTTTCGTAATGGTGAAGTGTAGTGTTTTCTTCGCGGTAGGGACTGGATTCTTAAATACGTAATATTTAGACGAGCTTTGACTTCAAAGGGTAAACCAGCTGATTTTCGTAATGGTGAAGTGTAGTGTTTTCTTCGCGGTAGGGACTGGATTCTTAAATACGTAATATTTAGACGAGCTTTGACTTCAAAGGGTAAACCATCTGATTTTCGTAATGGTGAAGTGTAGTGTTTTCTTCGCGGTACGGACTGAATTCTTAAGTATACGACCACCGGCTTCGAAAGATTAAGTAGCCTCCTCCCATTCCGTGTTTCAAAAATGTGAGTCATTATTATCGGTAAAAATTACAAGTGAATGGCTTATGCATCTGCTTGAATTATAATTGTATGTAAAATTTAATCTTTCTTCGCAGAGATTGCACCGCGCGTTGCAATTCGAGTCTCTCGGGACTTTGAATCGTTTTCTCGCCGTGCTTCTGTCTAACCCAAGGCTGGTCGCCGTGTTTTTTGCAGGTGGAATGAGTCCCTGCAGTTCACACCAGTGCGACTTCGGCGCGCAGTGCGTGGAGCGAGGCGGACGGGCCGAGTGCGCGTGTCCGGCTTGTCCGGCCGAGTTTGATCCCGTCTGTGGCTCGGACGGCATCTCGTACGGCAACGAATGCAAACTGCTGCTGGAGGCTTGCCAACACCGCCGCAAAGTCACGACCCTCTACAAGGGCTTATGCAGTAAGTTCCGGTGTGGAAACGCCTTGTACGATGTTTCTAGGGGAATATGGAAAGGGTTAGGACATAAGGCGTCTTCCTCCCCGTGGATTTACCATTTTCACCCTCTAGCTCGCAGATATTTTGCGTGTTCAAAGGAGAGACACTGATCTCGGTTTCTTTTACGTACATTCGACCCTTAATCCAGCATTCTTTTGTCATTGCAGACGGGTGTGAAAACAAGAAATGCGATCACTACGCCATCTGTGAGAGCGACGGCAGTGGCGCCGCCAAGTGCGTGTGTCCCGAAGCTTGTGTCGAGGTGAGCGAAAGCACAGACTAGGTTAGCTCGTCACGTGATTTGCTGTCGTGGTAGGATTTGGTGTTTTCAAGGCTGTGAGTCTGGGTTTTTGATGGTGGAGGCAGCAAGGACCTCTAAAACGTTGGTAAACGTCTACCATACTACACGACACTACAACCCAAAAGACAGAAATCTTCGGTTCTCATAGTATTTGATTCTTAATTCTTGGGCAGTTGTCGGAATTACGTTAACGTGTCAGGTTTAAGATTATTAGTTTGTGGACGAAGTTACGTTTGAAATGAAAATTCTTCTACGTTTCCTCCTTCCTTCTTCTCGTTTCTGCTTTGCTCTCGATTTCTACACGCTGTAAACTTCGTCGGTTAATTATTCAACAGAATGACTTAATCGATTAATCGATTCTACTGATGAAAGACCGGCACAGGCGAGAATCGAAACGCATCTCGCAATTAACTTATTTAAACAATCGATCGACTCCAGTAATTTAATTTTGACAAAATCGATTCAGAGTGCGTTCAGAAAGGGGCTGTAAACTGGTTCGACATTGCGTTTCGTCTCTTTTATAACAAAACCTGTCTGGTGGAGTGAGATGCAATGTTTTAAACTCCGTCAATCGTTACACGGCTTCTGTGGGAACAGAAGAGGGAGAGTTTGCGTTAGTGTTTATTCGCTACGCCGCTAGATGGCGTCAGAGTTCAGTTGAAAAGTTCGCCTGTGAAAATTTTACTGCTGTTTAAAAATGTATAACCTCACTTCGTTCTGTGTTAGAAATCAGCTGTGTATTTGAAACAACTTCCGCTTACCAGACATTTTCCCGTTCATTGTGACTACGGATTCTGTAATCTAATTCCGATGTAAGTACGTTCAAGGGATTGTTACTATAAAACGTAATATTATTTCGTAAAAAAACACCTCTTGAAATGGTCTAGCTCAGATTTTATGATTGGACTATAAAAGATTTAAATTTAAAACGCATTTGAATTTCGCATTTCCTCCTTCAGATGTCTCATTGTTTGGACACTTTTAATTGTCAGTTTTCCCTTGTTTGTGTACACGTCGCTCTAACGTTCATTATATGGTTTTTATTACATTATAAAAGTGTATTTTGATTTAATTTGATTTTAAAAGTACAGTCCCCCTCGTACAAAATACACCCGCAGAACTCCGTGACTTCCTGTCTATCGACAACTCTGACACATTTATTCTTACAGTCTCGCTTAACTTGGAACCGACGAAATTGATCATCTCTGAAAGTAGTTTGAACGGTGACTTGAAATATGTTTCTCGTGGTCGTTCAGACTTTGAACGCAAATTCTGGCTTATCGTCTCTAAACTTTTAATTTCCTTCCGCAGTTTGTGGTACTCTTTAAGTCACCGACGGAACTACGGTCATTGGCAAAGTGCTGTTAGTGCGCATAAAAGGCGATTTTCGTACACGAAACCACGCGCATGCGCAAACAGATGATTGCGCAGTAGGTTGTGCCGTGTGGCAATAGAGTGATGCTTGGACAAGCTGATGGGTGGGGTTTAGAAGGTTTAATGTATTTTTCGTGGAGTAAAGTCCATTCGCAAGCAAGAGACATGAATGTAGGAGTCAGTTTTATTAAGAATCCACATTATTAGATTTATTTTAGTAGTTTTTAAAGGAGTTTTTCGTGTTGTGTGTTTAGTGGGTTGAAGTGTGAGGTTATGTTGAGAGCTTGAAATAATGCTGGACTATTTTACCTGTCAAGTGACCAAGATAACGAAAATGTTATGGGAAATCGAAGAAAGTTTAGACGAAGAGAAAAGATTCGTCTAGAATTATATGTTTTGGAAGGTCGTCCATTTTGTCGAAGGAAAATTTTTGAGTAGGTCTATGAAACCAATTTTGAAAGATATATTTTTTTTTAAATGTTAGGTATTTGGCTTTCGTCCTATAACGCAGCTTCAGTAACTTTATTTTCACTGTACGTCTGATATTATTTTGTGATTTCAGTTGTACCACATTATGAGATTAAAAATTCTTTGGTGCCGAGGCCACTGATATCTAGTGAAATCATGAACGAAATAATATTTCATTTTGTTATCGTATCAATGAAAACGTTTACCGATACTGATAACAGGCTCAGTAGTACCAACCCCGAGATTTGCTGGAAAAATCCAGCGACACCTGCTTCCGCACTGAGCCACACAAAGATAACATAAGAACCTTTTGGTCGTGCCCCACAGGTGCACTCGCCCGTCTGTGGTACAGATGGCGTCACTTACAAGAATGAGTGTGAGATGCGGGTTGCAACTTGCAGGAGCAAACAGTTTGTCATGGTTGCGTATAAGGGAGACTGCGGTAAGTATTTTTTTTTTTTTGGCGGGGGATTGGTACTTGTGGAGATACGAACAGCTGAATATGTTAATGTTAGAAAGTCTCTTAGAATACGCCACAACGACTCGCTCTGACAGATTTCTGAAGTCATTGTTTACGTATCAGAAATACGACTTCAGTTATCGAACCAAGACAGAAAAGTCTCTTTAATAACATCTTAGTTTTTATATTGTTTTGTTTTAAGCGATGTTTTGGTGTATAATTAGTGTTGTATTGTGGCACTGTAGGTGTTGTCTTCAGACTTTGTGTTTAAATTGTAATAATAATCGTCAGGTTCAATTGAGAGCCACGATTACGAAAGTCGCGTGTATACTGAACACGCTTTAAAGTGGAATGGTTGTACGTTAACCCCGTTGAAGGAAATCGCTGTTGCAATTGTGTTTTGTAGACTAAAAGAATGTTTTTACAAGAAGAATCATTAGTTTTACTCGTGTGTAGAAATTGAAATAAGAAATCAAATCTAAAAGTTCTTGACGATGGTGAAGAGTCAATTGAATAAAAATTTTCTTGGATATTATCCATCGTCTAGTAAAATATAAAATATAAAACGTAAAAAAACGACGTTTCGGAGATGGGACTCTATCTCCGTCTTCAGGTTCCTAGGAACCTGAAGACGGAGCATCGTGACTGAATCCAGCGACTAAGTGACGGAGATTGTTTCGTTCCGCCATTCAGACCTGTGTCAGGGGGTGGAGTGCCAGTGGGGCGCGAGGTGCGAGGCGGGGGCGTGTGTATGTCCGACCAACTGCGGTGGCTCTACCGGCATCCACATGTCGGAGCCTGTTTGCGCTTCGAACATGGTGACGTATCCTAGCGAGTGCGAACTACAACGCGCCTCGTGCAACCTTCCGCGTGGCAGCCCGACGCTTACCGTCGTGTTCTATGGGGATTGCCGTGAGAAGAACGCCGTTCCTCCAAGTATGTTGTCTGCATTTTATTGACTTTATTACATTTTTACTTGTAAAATAAATGTCTAGAAAATAAGGCCCTGTTTATAATAACAAGACTGACGTGTGATATTACGTATTTTATTAAAATATTAAAATATTATTACAACAATTAACATTTAATATTTAAAATATATTAAAATGATGCTCTTTCTATCGAAATGTTCGATTTACAATTAGAGCATCATCTTTTTCACGACATGTTTCGGTTTTCAATGAACCATCTTCAGGTGTATAATCGATATAAATTCAAATGTAATATTCTAAATGCAATCCTT